GTCACCACAGACTCCGTATAGAACACCGATAGTACCTGTTGGATTTAAAAATAAGTAAAATAAAAATTATTTTGTAGTAACTTTGTCAGAGGCGTAAAATTAGACAAGATGTAACCTAAAATTTTGTTTTGTCGATACAAAGAATATTCCAGGATTTCATAGATAGCCAATGGTACGATGACAAAATATTAATAAATATCCGGTTCGTGAAATAAACCTAAAATTAAAGTGTGTCAATACTTTTTTGACCGTGTCGAAGTGATTTTTCGTTGAACTTTTTACTTATGTAAATTTAATTTCTTTTTCACCCCAATTATGTATTTTTCTAAATCTTTTGTTAAATCAAAATGTTTAGCGAATCAATTTTGGATTCTTTTACAATGAAACCCGAAAAAAGTTAAATGTGCCAATACTTCCAATACTTCTTTGATCCGCTGTATTTATAGCATTGTCAGGATAGCTAATTATATATATATATATATATATATATATATATATATATATATATATATATATATATATATATATATATATATAATTCTTGAAACTTTAAACTTTACAACGACTGTTAAAGTAGTAACGTACTTAATAAATTGTAAGCATGGCAATAGATAATTTTGTTTAATCAGTGTCGCCCTTAAAGATTTGCTCCCTCACCCCTAAAAACATTTTTTTTATTTATTTACTCAGAAATATTACAATCTGTCACAATTAAGGACATTTATAATAGTGTTGAGAGAGCACATTCACACTCTATTTACAATAAATAATACAGAAAATAATAATATTAAAAATAAATGTTTCCTAAATTTTTTTTAAGCTAACAAGAGGAAGCTACAGTCGTTGAGTCACAGATTTCAATATAATTTTTTCGGTGATATTACATCGAAAAATATTGTACACATGTTCCGACGTTCGTTCTAATGGCCTCTATGAGCCGAGAAAAAAGTATTTTATATAATATCAAACAAAATTTATGTTATGTATTTTTGCCTTTTCTTTGCCCGGATGTTAAGGTTATTATATATCAGTTGATTTCTTTTTTTGTGCTGAATAAGAAAAAAATATTGAATATTGTGTTAAATGAGTTGATAATATATCATAAATTAAAAAAACTGAAAAGCGTTTCCAGTAACGTAGGATAAGCCAAAAGTGAATTATTTCTCTTCCAAATCATAACCATAACTTTTATATTTGATTACTTTTTAAAACTAAATATTAAGAAAAACTTCTCATTAATTTTTATTTAATGTCTTTAGTTCTAACTTGTTTACGTAGGCGGGCTTGTTCTATTTCGTGTATCGTATAGAGACCTAACAATAATTTTTGCGTGAATCGATTGAGCCGTTGCAAGGTTTAAGGATCCAGTCTAGGAATGAATTTTAATTTTTCGATTGCTATAAAAATTCGTATTTAAGGTTTTATTGAATTGCGGGGAAACGAATATCAATTTTGTCTTTCCAAAACAAAATATTTCTCGGCTCAGAGGGCCCACTGGAACGAACGATGGGATATGTGTCCGATATTTCCCGATGTAGGATCACAAAAAAAATTTTTGATTGAAATCGGTGACCCACAAACTGTATTCTCTCCTTATAAGAAATTACAGTGACTTAATAATACAGTAACTGTATTAATAATATTGTCACTGTTAATAATGATGTCACTGTCACTGTAATAATGTCACAGTGATTTAATAATACTGTCACTGTTTAAGAAATAAGAAGGGTCAGCGCTCTAGCGGCCGAAGTAGTAACTAATGATCTTTTTATTTATTTTTAATAATATAAATTGTCCATTATTATTTTACCTTGATTTGTTTTCAATTAAAAGTATCATATATCAAGTAATAATAAAATATATTTTCGCATCGTGGTATTTTTAAAATGTTTATTTATTTAATTCTTAATGCGGCCAGCCAGCATAATCTTTCATAATGTGTTAATAAGTTAAAATTGTATGTAATGAATTCTGTTATTTATTTTCTACTTGAAATATATAGTTGAAAGTTATATATCTTTGAGTTAGTGTCTGTTCTGTAATGTTTAAAATAATAGATTATATTGTAATGTCTTTTTCATTAGAAATTTCATAATTTAGTTTAAATATTTATCAGAAGTTTTATCAGTGAGTGAAATGAAGTTTTGAACGCATCTAGAGGTACCGACAATTAACTGTGTTTATAAATATTATGGATATGTAATAGTTAAGTATTTTTAAATATATGGTAAACAGTAATAAAAGGAAAGAAATAGAAGTGTTTCTGTGACAGGTTCTTTTTAGTTTACACAATTATTTCTTTGTAATTAAACACTTAAATGTTCATCGCTGTGTATACTATTAACTACAGATTTATAATATTTGAATGTATTTCTGATTCAAATTATAAGTTTGCTGAAATTGTTTTCAAAGGTTGTGAGAAAATTAATTTTTTATCTATTAAACTATTCATGTTTATAGGGAATAATTCATTCTTGATTTTCTTATTCAAAGTATTCCTTTTGAGTTTAATGCTGTCTTCCATTTAAAATCTTTTAATAGTTATAATTCTAACATTTTAAAAATTATCATCTGCTCAAATTTAATGTAATACAATATTCTGATTGTAGATGATTGGTTGTGATGTATATCATGTAATAAATATTTAGGATTTAACCATTATTATATTATTACAAAAGCCAACATTTCAATGCAAATTTCTGGGTCTTCTTCAATGCACAAAAGATATAGATATGTGTATACTATAAAAACAGAAGTAAATAATAAAAATAAAATTTTTATTAATTAGGGATTAAGATAAAGTAAGAGACAGAAACATAAATAATAATAGAGATACATATTGTCTTATTTTATGTATTGCTTAATTTATCTTTATTTTATTTTTATTATATTGCTTTTTATTTTGTATCAATGAAAGGGAAAAGAAAAAAAAAACAATCTGAAGCTCAAATTTTATTTTTTAAATAGTATATTTGGGTTGTAATGTATAAAACTTTTACACAAGTGAGTTTATTCAGTATTTAGTATTTTGCAAAATTACAAACAACACTTAAAACAAATAAAAATAACCACTTATATTATGCTCATTTATAATATATAATTACTACATAAAGAATATAATTACCATTCATAATTTTAATTTTTATTCCATTAATTATACCTTGATTGATCTTTAAAAAATACTTGTTTGTCATTTACAATATTTCTGCTTATAATAAAATGTTTCTTAATCATCAAACAGAAGCAATCCATCTGAGAGATCTAGAACACAAAGAAAGTTGATTTGTCCCAACTAAGTTGAATATTCTACTTAAAAATTTGTAATAACTAGAAAAAAAAATCTTAAAAATAAAGAAAACTGTGGATAACTAATTTTCTGGTAGTAATTGGAACTTGACAATGCAAAATTGAAATAAAAATGCCAAAAATCATACGATTTATTGAATAAAAATCCTATTTATTCATAATTACTTTATATGTGTTTGTCACCAGTCACATAAATGCTATATGAAGTGTAAACTTAATGAAAATAAGTATTAGAAATTATGTAAAAACAGGACTAAACTTGGTTAAATATTTCAGATCATTGTATGTCCTGGTGTTACATCTCAGTTTCCTTATATAAAGATTTTTTTGGATTATGATTGTATCACTGCTACATAATAAGGCTTATTTCATGTAAATAATAAAAATTAAGGTAAGCGTAGCGGTAATAGACACTTTAAGAGAATTTTTCAATATTAATGTGAACCACTTCTTTAGTTCTGAAGGTGGATCTATGCGAATGGGTTCAACTTACAGCAAATTTAGTCGTTTCTCACATTTTTTCATATACAGTCAATTAGTTAATTATCCATGAAGAACTTAAAGAATTCTGGCAGTGTATTTTGTAACAGTAGTAGACATTCGGGTTTTGGGGGTAAATATAATTCTATATAATTAAAAAACCCTAAATAAATTCTCCAAAAAGTCAAACTAAGAAATATCAAGCTACATAATAATGAATGAAAATTTCAAACTTATCTCATAAAGAATAGTAATAAGGAATTCTCCTTGAAATAAACCTCAGCTTTATATTATTAAGAAATCAACTGCCGGCTATTGTGACATGGTATCAGTTGAAGTTCAAGCATCACCCTCCTAAGTGTTCTAGTTTATATACTTATACTTACACAATCTTTTTGCTGTATAAAGCTTATTATCGGTTTATGATTTAAATATTGTCTATTACTGGTACATTTACCTTAGATTATAAATAATAATAGTATGGAGTTGGTTGACTGTGATTATAATTTGATTCGGATAATATTATTGATTAAATAATATTATATAGGCGTATCTAGTAAAATACTATTATAATATGTAGTATTTAGTTTGACCACAGGCGGATCTACGGGAGGGGGCTTTCGGGCTCCTCCCTCCTTCCAAAACGGTAAAATATAACCATGTTTTATAGAAAAAACAATTAAAAGCTATCTCTTAAAGTACTATTGTTCGTGTAATTAAATTTAATAGGACTTCAAGAGTCACTTACACACCATGTCTTATAGGTCATTACTTTCTTTCATTTTTTTAAAAATTTATAATCGTTATATACTGAAAAAAAAAAGCTTACGGGCTAAAGCTCCTTCCCCAAAATTAAAAACTAGATCCGCTAGTGAGATTGACCACACCCCTGGCCAACTCCTTCTCAAATAAATAATAATAGATGAATTGACAATCTTCAGTTATAATTATATTCATTATTTACAAAATAATATTTAAATTAAAATGTCTTTTAACCTAATTTAAAATAAGCCTGACTGAACTTGTACTCAATGCTGTTTCATACAACAATGCATTTCTAAAAAGCCTTTTCTATACAATAACAAAGTATTTATATGTATTATTTTTCAGAAGTATTTATTTACAAAGAATTAATGATTTTTAAAAACTTATCTAATATAACAATATAATTATAATGAAACAATAACTCATATATATATTCTATTTTATTTTAGGTGTTTAGCTGGTTTCTACCATCTCCTTGACGACAATGCTTAGAAGTGATAAACTACACTGCTTTTTGGAGATGTCTGGAAAAATAGCATAATTGCAAATGAGACCATTGACAAACAAATCACAAATGAAACAAGATATTCTGCCATGGAAATTTTCTTCAGTTGAACCCACATCAGAAAAATTAATATTTTCAAAACTCACAATTGGGGGCATGCAGTCTTCACCTATGTATACTTAGTCAGATGCCTGGAACCACCGCTCTGAGAAACAAACAACACATCTCCGACACCAGAATGAGACTGTATACTTTCCAATATGGCTAAAGAACTTGAAGATAATGAAGGCAGAATAAAAAAAAATTCATTCAATGAGAACCATTAAAATTTTTTATGTTGTATAGTTGTAATTTTTCATTACATTTAATTATTGTAATTATTCTTGTCATTTAATTCTTGTAATAATTATATAAACTATTGATGTTATTTATTTTTTGTATTTTAGAGATGGATATATAGTTGCTTGCTGAAATTGTAAATTGTAAATGTGTGGTCAGGATGTGCTGTCAAAAGTGTATATTGATTATGCCTAAGTTTCAATCCAAGCATGTGAGTCATCATCAGGTCAATGATTTGAAGTCAGGACAAGAACTTTCCTTCTTAATTTTTGAATAATTATTTTAATTATTTCTGTCATTTTATTTCTGTAATCATTAGATCATTTTTGTAATAATTTAATTATTACTAGTAATTATTTAATAATTACAATTATTCACGTTATTTAATATTTGTAATTATTATAAAATAAATAAAGAATATTTTAATAAGTATTACAAGTTGAATCAATACAGCAAGGTGATAAGTATGTCTACATAACAAAAAGTAATAAGAGAATAAGTAAACAATCCTTTTTCAGGAAAACATTTAAAGGTATTTGCTACAAGAGTTGAAAAGAAAAGGGCTTATCTTCCTCAAATAAGCACGAAAACCCATGAAGGGTCTTAGGTTCAGTACTAGAAGAGGAAGTACTGTTAGATGGCCAACAGTTGTGCAGGGAGATGATTAAGCCTATATCATGCTCAACCGCTCAAATTTTTCTTGATTAATTTTTGTATTTGCTATTTTAATTGGTTGTTAAGTCTGTTAAATGTTCATCTGTTCAATGGAAGCCTATTTGTCTGCCAAACTTTCGGGCTTTTCTCTTAGCTGTGATCAGATCCCTTATGTTATATTATATATATGTTATACATATAATGTGGGTAATTTGGTAGTTTATCTGATTTTTGAGGTTTAGGAACCGAACATGACCAAGCTGTTTTTGGAGGCTCTTTGTGAAGGTATATTGCTTCCTCTAACTCTTCCTTTGTTTTATTTGATATGGGGATAGAGAGAGTGGAATTCAATATTCTTCTAGTCATCTCAGCCCATTGTCCCATTAATAGGAGATGATCGTCTTAAAGCCTCACAGGGCTCGTCCAATAGCAGGAGGTTCAATCAGAGCTAGTGTTGGCAGTGTATGGTAAAGTTCTAAGTCCTTTAGTGATTAAAAAGTCCAATAAATCAGGTGTTTTATTGACACTTCAAGAATTGCTAATACATAGTTATGAGGCAGGTAACATAACTAATGCTCCCTCAAGGTTCAAAGTATCCCTAATCATGTTCTTAGCTGATATTACAAAGGACACATACAATGAGACTAAAACAAAAAAAAATTCTTTCTCATGGCACCTAGAGGGTCTCAAGACTTCACTCGATCATGTAACACCTAGAATTCTATCAGAGCGAATGTATGGTCACAGGTGGACTGAACATCCAATGCTACATTGAGAAGATAGCATGGCTGCTGACACTAGATCTCTGCTTGGTATAAAATTGGAAATTAACACTACAGAATAGAGAAAATTGGGAGTCTATGACTCATCAAATGGATCGCAATGTAGAATAGCAATAATTACCATAGTAGCCATGTAATAAAATTTTTCATTAGGGTGTACTAATGAAAGTGTGTATTTTATATAATATAATTGTAGTATTTTGTTGTCTCACTGGTTTGATTTATATATATAGTTTATTTATGTAAAGCTTTTTATCTAGCTACTTTTTAATGTAATAAGTTTTCTGGTCAGATGTTATTCTTTTTTTTCTGTAATATTCTATTATTCTTAAGAGACTTTGTCCTAGAATAAAGTTGTTTTCTATTTCTATTTCTATTTCTAAAAAATAAATAAAATAAATAGATCAGAAGAGAAAACTACAATAATGTTACATGGCTGCTCAACTGTTGCTAAACCACACAGCATACCCATCAATCAACTGATAATATTGAAAAAGATTAAAAGTTCAAATAATCTTAATAAATAACTTTATTCAATTAATATATATATATACATATTTTTCATATTGTATAATGAAAGAAATAAATGGCAATAATATAGCTTGCTCATAAGAATATAGCAGAAAAAAATCTTCCCTTTCCACAAACCAATAGACCTGTTGAACGGTTCAACTATTATTGAAATCTTGGTTTTAATTTCGCCTTAAATATAAATTTTATAATTAAACTTTCAAGGTATTCGGAGGGGAATGTTAGTGTGAATTCAGTGTCACGTGAGTTCACCCTCAGTCTGCCATATTTTTGTGGACAAGCTGTGATGATTACTTTTATTAACTTAATTTTAATTTTAGATGCTAGCTGCAAGTATCCGGAAGTTACAAAATATTCGATCACGCACCAAGGTCTTGGTTGCTACAGCTCATCATGTCACCTCATCGCGACACCTTTTCTAATTATGTTAATGAAATTTACCTTATAGAACAGTACAATATAATAGATTGAGTGATTGTCCGAGATTAGTGTTAATAAGATTTTCTTTTATAAAAATCCTTCTGGTAAATTAATAAAAGTAGTTAATTCCCAATAGTGTGATTTTCCAAGTTTGTTACCTAAATACATTGGTGATTAATGTTCATGAATAAACCCAGATGATAATGTAATAAAATTTTGGTGAGACAAAAAATCTCAAATCTTTGACAAATGAATAAGAGTAACACCAAGGTTGCGGTGAATTGATGACGTATTCGCAGGTGCACGATCCATGCTTGTGGTCCAGAACTGGAAGACGGCTGTGTAGAATATGGATGACTGGGGGTTAAAGTTGCAAAAGGTCTTGTCTTTGCAAGAGACATAGCGCCAGAGAAGAAGAAGAAGAAATATTAAATTTAAAAAAATATAATAAAGTCATTAAAAAATTAATGTGTGGCAAAAAGGACTTTTTAATTAAATGTAAACAGTTCAATTATCAAACAGTTTTGTCCTTATCAACAATAATAAATAAAATAGACAATTAAATTTAAATTTTATTTTATAAATAGTTGAGCATGAACTTAACCATGTCATCTCCTTGCACAACCATTGACTAAGAAACAGTACTTTTCTAAATAGTACTGAACACATGACCCTTCAGGGATTGTAGTGGTTTTTTATTTTGTAAATAACAAATATAATTATTACAGAAGATTGTCAATCCATCTATTATTTGTAATGTCATTGTTGTTATTTATATGAAATAAGTTTTATTTTGTAATATTCACACAATCATAACCCAAAGTGTATTCCAGAAAATTAGAGAATAAATAAAAAATAAATTAGAGAAAAAACCTTCATATAAGAAAACTGAGATGTAGCACCAGCACATACAATGATATCTAAGATATCTAACCAAGTTTATTACTGTTTTTACATAATTTCAATCCTTATTTGCACTAAGTTTACATTTCATATAATACTTATGGAGTGAGGAATTAAGAGATGTAAAGAAATTATGAGTAAATAGGACTTTTATTCAATGAACTGTTATAATTAAAATTTTTATATTTCAACTTTGCATTTTCTAGTTCCAATTAAAAGAATATAGTTAATCATCAAATAAAAAGAAGTTTTTGTTACTTTTTAAGAATTCATTTTCTAGCTATGAGAAATTTTTAAGTAGAATATTCACCATCACTAGACAAATAAGCTTCCTTGGAGTTTAAGGTCTCTCAGATAGATTGCGTATGTTGGGTGATTAAGAAACTTATTATCATAAGCAAAAATATTGTAAACAACGAGCAAGTAATATTATATTTTTTGTTGAAAAAATAAAGAACATCAATATACAATTTATACGCTGTATCTTAAAAACATATGAATGAATTCACCAGTTTTACTATTGTAGAAGGCCTATTTTGTAAATTAAAAAGTATTAGTTTTATAAACTAAATATTGTGACTTAATAGTATTATCCATAACATATGTATAATTCATTATTTTGTTCTTATTTTTATCAATTTAACTCATGTACTTGAATTTTTTATGTAGTAAATATATATTATAAATGAGAAAAATGTACTGTAATATAATTGATTATTTTTATTTCTTTTAAACACTGTTTGTAATTAAAAAAAAAATAAAATTTGAACTCCAGACAGTTTGTTTTTCTACATCCTTGTCTTTGATTCAAAAAGAAAAATAATAAAAGTAAATAACAATAAATTAAGCAAAATAATCTGCATTTCTATTATTATTTATATTCTTACTACTCCCTTTATCCTTGATTTACTTGTATTGATTGTGTTTTTATTAATTTCTGTCTATACCAAATACATTTATATATTTCTTGTATATCTGATTTAATTTCATTCTTGATGAACATCCAAAATTTTGCATTGAGAGTTGTATTTTGCATTAAAATAATGATTGAATCCTGAAAATTCGTTCCATGATATAAACTACAGTTAATCAACTATAACAGTTAATCAAATTGTTCTATAGTATTAACAATCACCACAAGATCATTTTCAGAAAATATTTTTAAAATGTTGAGATTTTAACTATCAAAAGATTTTAAATGAAAGCCAGTGTCAAATGTAAAAGAACAACATAGAGAATGAATTATTTCTTATGAACATGAATAATTTGATAGATAGAAATTTGTAGAAACTTACCTTCAACATTCAAAACAAAAAATTTAGCAAACACTTTTACTTTGAATTAGATATACATTCAGAAGATATAAATATGTAGTTAATGATGTATACAAAAATGAGCATTAGTGTTAGATTATGAAGAAAGAATAGGGTAAAATAAAAACAAAACTTCACAGAAATACATTTATTTGTATTCTTCTATTATGTTTTACCACATATATATAAAAATACATAAAAAAGTTACTATATATTGATAATATTTTTTACATATTCATAATATATATAAATGCAGTTCACTATATGTATTCAAAACTCCACTTCACTCACTCCATACACTTTAGAGAAATATATTTATTTGATATCGCCTATGATGGTCTACCATATATTTAAAACTACATAACACAACTATTATATATCAGTATTCATAAACACAGTTCACTCATACCTGTAGATTCATTCAAAACTTCTTAAATTAAACTAAATTCTGTAATTTCTAATAAAAAAAATCCTTATGAAATAATGCATTGCTTAAGACATGAAATAATAAGACACTAACTTAGGCTAGATAACAGTTTAGACAATATATTTCAGAAAGAAAACATTTCATAGAATTTATCACAAGCAATTTTAGCTTATTAGCATATTACGGAAGGTTGTCAAGGCTTATCACGTTAATAATTAAAATAGTAAACATTTAAACAATAGAACTAGGCGAAAATAACAATTTCAGTGATCGTTTATAAGTTTAAACGAAGTTTGAATAATAATTTTCTTAACTAAATGAAGATAACAGCAATACCAGACAAAACCTATGAATAATAGTTATAAAATCTAAAAAAAGAGAGCAGCACCATCCAATAAACGTATATTTTCAACTATTAGTTCCAAAAACCGCTAAAAGAGACCAGCACTATCCAAAGACACAAAAACGGCATTTAGTTCAAAAAGTTGCCGCAAGGTAGCAGCACTATCCAAGCAGTCACTGTAGGGAACCCGAAGCTCGAACGTAGTTCTTAAAACTGCCGAAAGAGGCCAGCACCATCCAAGGAAGAAATAAAATCGTAGTTCTAGACGCTGCCGCTAGATAGCAGCACTACTAGAACTCCTGGTTGACTCGAAAAGTGAGCTCCTTCGACTTCCTAATATCCTGATACAAATCGACGAGTTTCTCGCTAGAAATTCGAATAAAATTCGTAGTTCCTATGTCCTGCCAACAGATAGCAGCACCATCGGTATCAGGACCGACTCCAAAAGTGAGCTCCTGTTATTTCCCACTTTCCTAATACAAAATGAAGATCTTCAGTTTCCAATTCTTTCATCGGACGCTACTGGGACTTCTTTTTTTAGTTTTTCTTGTTTATTCATGTTCTAAATTGATCAGAATATTCAAAAAATGTTCAAAAAGTTTAAAATCATCACATTTTCACTAGTTTTTGTAATTTTCAGTATTTCTTCGATATAAGGATCGATTTATATGTTTTCGGAATTGTAGTTTTTGAAAATGACCTCCATTTTAATATTTCAACACTGCGTTGCGACTTATTTTAGTTGCTTGTATTTCTTCGAAATAAGGATCGGTTTATATATTTTCAGAGCTGTAGTTTTTAAAAATGGTCTCTATTTTAAGATTACTTCACTGCATTCCTAACTAAAATAAGTCGTAAAGCAGTGGCGTAATCTTAAAATTGAGATCATTTTCAAAAAGTACGTCTCGGAAAACATATAAATCGATCCTTATATCGAAGAAATACAAACAACTGAAATAAGTCGTAAAGCAGTGGCGTAATCTTAAAATGGAGATCATTTTCAAAAAGTACGTCTCGGAAAACATAGTAGTCAATCCTGATATCGAAGAAATACAAAAAACTCAGGTAAATCGGAACGCGGTGGCGTAATCATAAAATGGAGAGCATTTTCAAAAACTACAGCTCCAAAAACATATAAATCGATCCTTATATCGAAGAAATACTGAAAATTACAAAAACTAGTGAAAATGTGATGATTTTAAACTTTTTGAACGTTTTTTGAATATTCTGATCAATTTAGAACATGAATAAACAAGAAAAACTAAAAAAAGAAGTCCCAGTAGCGTCCGATGAAAGAATTGGAAACTGAAGATCTTCATTTTGTATTAGGAAAGTGGGAAATAACAGGAGCTCACTTTTGGAGTCGGTCCTGATACCGATGGTGCTGCTATCTGTTGGCAGGACATAGGAACTACGAATTTTATTCGAATTTCTAGCGAGAAACTCGTCGATTTGTATCAGGATATTAGGAAGTCGAAGGAGCTCACTTTTCGAGTCAACCAGGAGTTCTAGTAGTGCTGCTATCTAGCGGCAGCGTCTAGAACTACGATTTTATTTCTTCCTTGGATGGTGCTGGCCTCTTTCGGCAGTTTTAAGAACTACGTTCGAGCTTCGGGTTCCCTACAGTGACTGCTTGGATAGTGCTGCTACCTTGCGGCAACTTTTTGAACTAAATGCCGTTTTTGTGTCTTTGGATAGTGCTGGTCTCTTTTAGCGGTTTTTGGAACTAATAGTTGAAAATATACGTTTATTGGATGGTGCTGCTCTCTTTTTTTAGATTTTATAACTATTATTCATAGGTTTTGTCTGGTATTGCTGTTATCTTCATTTAGTTAAGAAAATTATTATTCAAACTTCGTTTAAACTTATAAACGATCACTGAAATTGTTATTTTCGCCTAGTTCTATTGTTTAAATGTTTACTATTTTAATTATTAACGTGATAAGCCTTGACAACCTTCCGTAATATGCTAATAAGCTAAAATTGCTTGTGATAAATTCTATGAAATGTTTTCTTTCTGAAATATATTGTCTAAACTGTTATCTAGCCTAAGTTAGTGTCTTATTATTTCATGTCTTAAGCAATGCATTATTTCATAAGGATTTTTTTTATTAGAAATTACAGAATTTAGTTTAATTTAAGAAGTTTTGAATGAATCTACAGGTATGAGTGAACTGTGTTTATGAATACTGATATATAATAGTTGTGTTATGTAGTTTTAAATATATGGTAGACCATCATAGGCGATATCAAATAAATATATTTCTCTAAAGTGTATGGAGTGAGTGAAGTGGAGTTTTGAATACATATAGTGAACTGCATTTATATATATTATGAATATGTAAAAAATATTATCAATATATAGTAACTTTTTTATGTATTTTTATATATATGTGGTAAAACATAATAGAAGAATACAAATAAATGTATTTCTGTGAAGTTTTGTTTTTATTTTACCCTATTCTTTCTTCATAATCTAACACTAATGCTCATTTTTGTATACATCATTAACTACATATTTATACCTTCTGAATGTATATCTAATTCAAAGTAAAAGTGTTTGCTAAATTTTTTGTTTTGAATGTTGAAGGTAAGTTTCTACAAATTTCTATCTATCAAATTATTCATGTTCATAAGAAATAATTCATTCTCTATGTTGTTCTTTTACATTTGACACTGGCTTTCATTTAAAATCTTTTGATAGTTAAAATCTCAACATTTTAAAAATATTTTCTGAAAATGATCTTGTGGTGATTGTTAATACTATAGAACAATTTGATTAACTGTTATAGTTGATTAACTGTAGTTTATATCATGGAACGAATTTTCAGGATTCAATCATTATTTTAATGCAAAATACAACTCTCAATGCAAAATTTTGGATGTTCATCAAGAATGAAATTAAATCAGATATACAAGAAATATATAAATGTATTTGGTATAGACAGAAATTAATAAAAACACAATCAATACAAGTAAATCAAGGATAAAGGGAGTAGTAAGAATATAAATAATAATAGAAATGCAGATTATTTTGCTTAATTTATTGTTATTTACTTTTATTATTTTTCTTTTTGAATCAAAGACAAGGATGTAGAAAAACAAACTGTCTGGAGTTCAAATTTTATTTTTTACTGTGGGAAATTTGGGTTGTAGTATATAAAACTTTTATACAAGGTTATTTATTATATATTTTAAAAAATTACAAACAGCGTTTAAGAGAAATAAAAATAACCATTTATATTACAATACATTCTTCTCATTTATAATGTATATTTACTAAGTATAGAATACAATTATAATAATAATAACAACCTTTATTTGTACATACAATACAAACAAAAATGGATAAAAAATAGATATATAAGAAGTCTTAACATGTTAATTTATACTTAACATTCTTATGTGTACAAAATCAACATTTTCGTTGAGGTTTTGAGTTCGATTTTTTTTTTTTTCTTACTCTCTTGCAACCACACTAGATAAATGAACCTGTCCCATCTGTTTTCACTCTTTTCTCTCCAATGCTACTCTCTTCCAGGCTGCTCCCCCGCAGGTCTTCTTCATCACCTTGTTCTAGTATGTTGGCGGGCATCCTCTCTTCCTCACGTGATCTCTAGGATACCAACCTGTAAACTGCCTGGTCTATGTTATATCATTCCTCCTTATTACATATCCGGTCCAGGT